ATTACGAAATGTTCTTAGCAATGGTCAATTAACACTGAACACAGTTAATAGTTGGCACAGCGACTGGGCAATAGGGTGACGCACAATGTGTCGTCAGTACTACATCCGGGTCAGAAAGTAATATTGGGTATTTTTCATTTCAAAATCAAGATTTCAGATGTGTGTGTTTCTGTTCGTTAGTCTCACTAAAACTCGAGAACGGCTGAACCGATTTGGTCTTGAAATGTTCGTGGAAGTCCAGGAAAGGTTTAAAAAAATTGTAGGCGGTACGTAGTTTGCCGGGTAGTATTAAATAATTAGATCTCGGGTCTGTCTCACAATATCGGGATCACAGATATTATAAAGAAGAACTTTTTTAATATTTCTGTGATCGGGATAGATGTTGTGTACAAATTATAAAGTGGGCGCTTGCCCATCATTAGGCGATATTCGCATGCACTCGACGCGAGCGACCGTAGGGAAAACCACGCCCGGATAGTGAGTTTGCCACAGGATTTTGCTTCCAAAGTATTCAATGATAAACTTTGCTTTTATTAAGAATTAAGAACTTAATTTGTATGAACTATTAAGTACATATCGAGGGGTAACGGGCTATTTGGTTTAAGCGACATTTTGGGCGATATTGAGTTATATATATATTCGGAATCAGCGAATTTTTCTCCGTCGAATGATGCCGGTTTCATTAAAATCGGAGCACTTTTTTGGCGTTTCAAACAATTCTATTTTCATGTTGTTTCCAAAGTGGCAGTGTATTAAACGACATAGATTTCGCATTTTTTATTAAATTATGTACTTGAACCATACCATCATATTAATAACCGAGACATAAACCAGTCACCCTATCTCTAATTATTAAGTCAATGAGTTAAAGCGTTTTTCTTGTTTCTAATTTTTATTAACAAGTAACTTGAATCATTTTGACTTCCCACTAATCACACGGTGTGATGTCGCTTAAAACATTTGTCCGTCATCCAAATGCGTCATGGTACGTCTCTTAAACATTTCTAGCTGCCTCTATTTTCTACGCAGGGTGCTACTTAAACCAAATAGTTGTTTTCGTTCAGATATTTTGTTTAGTCATAAACCATTTAACCCTCAATTTTTTTTTTAATGCATGTCGTTTTATACAGACGATAACATTGATAATGAATATTGAAACATTTTTCCAGTATTCATAGAAATACGAGTCGGTCTTTCAATCACTAAGTTTTAATATGGTACATTTCAATCATGTCATATGATACCATATTTATTTCATCGCCCTGGTGTTAAAAATCGTTATCATCCAACTGGACTATCGTGCGCTGGCGCTTCAGTCACTCCAGAGTGCGCCGAAGACAGACGGGACGCGCGCACACCGCCAGTGTTTACGTAAAACGCTCATCGAAATTGAATCCTAAGTACTTTAATTTCAAGATGAACCTCGCGGTCGTTCGAAGACTTTGGCAACAATGACAATTTAAGGGCTATTGTGGAGGTTGATGACATACAATCTACGGCTGATTTAGCAACAGCTTTCGACGTTAGCGTCAAAACAATATTGGTAAAAAGCTTGATAAGTGGGTGTCCCACAAACTAAATGATCAACAGAGCTAAGTATGCATCGAGCAGTGCGAGGGGGACTGGGATGCCGTCTCCTCCTTTTGCGAAGCAGTTATGCTAGCTAAGGAGGAGGCGGGACGCGTGAGGCAGCGAAGCGCTGGCTCCTCGCAACCCAGCCATCGCGAAGGACACACCTGGCGTCGGGGATCGCGGGACGATCTCCAGTTACCGTAAGCGCGGGCCTGCGGACGGTGAGCATGGGTGGCTCCCCGTCCGACCAGAAACAGACCCGAGCGTACGGGGCATTGCGTTCCGCGCGCGCCTCAAAGAGCCATCAGACCACCACAGATGGGGCCCAACAGGGTCGATGCCGATTCAGAGTCGCGGAGAACCTAACGGGTAACCGGGGCTCCTGCTCGACGTGCAGGAAAGAAACGGGGTGATTTTTAGTCAGTAAGAGTCTGACACTCTTTCCTGCCTCACCCAGGCGGGAGCAGTCATTCGATGATTTTCCACCCTTAAAAAAATGCATCGAGTAGTGCCTTGCACTGCACTGCTCAATATACACACAATGAAAGAATTTTGATTTGCATTGTCACCTCCGATGAAAAATGAAATCTGTGTGATAACCACACGCGTTTAGCATGTTGGTTGAATCCTAGTTCAGCACCTAAACAATGCCCTAAACGAAAACTTACCCCTAGAAAAGTGATGGTCACTGATGGTCTAGCGCTCGCGCTATTCTGATTCATCACAAATTCTTACCAAACGGACGGAGTGAGCATTACTACGGATGTGTAGTGTGAAGAACTGAACACAATGATGGAGAAGCTGACACATCTCCAACCAGCATTGGTCAATCGCTAATCTCCATTGCTCCTGCATTACAACGCGCGACCTAAAGCTGCACAAGAGACGGCTCCACGTTACAAGAACTGGGGTTGTGAAGCTCTCCGACATCCACCCTACTCACCAGTCACCAGACTACTTCTTTTTCCAGAATTTGGATAACTTCTTGGCGGGAAAAAATTTAATAACCGAGAGGCAGTACAAAATGCATTTGAAGAATTTGTTGCTACCCGTCCAGCTGATTGAAGAAGGGCATCAATAAACTGCCACTGCGTTGGCAACGATGCATTGATTGCATGGGTGATTACGTTGATTATACAAATAAAAAATACATGAAAAAATCGTTTAAATTTTTTCATACAAAACGGCAATTTCAGTAAATGACCCATTAATTTAATTGATTTTGCTGAAATATAATCGATATTCCTATTGAAACTGTAATTATTACTCTAAATAAATACTTTGATATTGTGTTGTGTTTATTTATTCAATGTAAGCATCTGAGATTTTCGGTGATTGCGATATATCCAGGTTGTTTTATCAGCCATTAATCGCCTTAGATGTAAATAAACATAAACATTAAACGTTATAATTTCAATGTTATATGTCACATAAGTAAATTAGCCTGTCACTCATTTTAGTCTGAATTGGTAGTTAAGATAAATAGCTTGCTTCTATTAATTTTGGGTTTCGTCACTTCATATTTTTTAGCTTACTCTGTAAATAGAGTGCATTGTCGCTTAATTTTTTTCCCTTGTAGCCAATTGTAATTATGAAGTTACTTAAATCATTTTTCCTGACTCTAAAAAAGGGCAGATTGTATTAAGCGACATTTATCTTTGTAATTAAAGGTCCGCTTTATTTAGAATTAGCATCAGCAACTAGATAATTTAATTTACATTTCAATGCAATTTACCCCGTTCAAATAACTGCAGAAACGTTTTTGTTACGAATTTTTTTTCGAAATTTCAAACTTTAAAAGGCTCTCCTGTAAAGTTGCAAAAATGTCGCTTAAACCAAATAGCCCGTTACCCCTCGATATATAAAGACTGTGAAATAGATTCGAGGGGTAACGGACTATTTGGTTTAAGCGACATTTTGGGCGAATTTGAGTTATTATATAGAGGTATATTCGACGGAGAAAAATTAGCTGATTCCGAATTATATATAACTCAATATCGACCAAAATGTCGCTTAAACCAAATAGTCCGTTACCCCTCGGATTAATAAACGTAATGAAAAATATGACTTAATAACTTGCACCTCTGCCTACCCCCTATGATAATGACTAGTATATATATTCTAACATAAGTATGATGACTGACTAAACGTAATTTCGTGAATAACAACAGTGACCCGAATGATTACGTCACAACTTTTCGATTGTATCTACTCTGTATTTCGTAACCGATCAGCTGTTTGAGTACAGTCATGTGCAAATGTTGATGAGCAGGTATTTTTTTTATATGCGAAAACCTGTTTGGTATATGTTTTTTGTTTTTTTAATTTTTTTTTTTTTTGGACTGTTTAATGATAATATTATTTTGTTTATATATAGAGGATAAGTACAGTTATTTTTATTATATGTATTGGTGAAATATATTGAAAAAATTCTAATAACATTTAAAAATATTCAGCGCAAATGAAGAAATATTTCAATAAGACGTTTTATGAATAAAAATCTTTCTATTAACTCGGTCTGTAACTATTTACAGCTGAAATGAGTTTGTACGAATCTATACCAACGAACCCGTTTTTTACCGTAATAGATAAAGTAAAATATGATTCATAAATATAAAAAAAAATCTGTGCATATCGCTAGAAAAATTAAAATGATGATGAAAAACAAAAAAAAACATGTATAATATTATACCTCTAGAAAATGACACATACCACTTACCTTAAATATTCTAGTAAGTAATTATAAAATAGAAATATATAATACTTCTCTCTATTTCATTAGTAGGTTAGTAAATAATGTATAATATATGAACAGATATAAATATATACAAAATCAGTTTACATAGTGAAAAAGCAAGACATAGTTAGAATAAGGAGGCGGAATTTAGAAAAAGAATTTATATATACAACAGAGGAAATATAACAACATTATATACAATATAATAAGTTTTCAATACCTGATGACGTCACCGGATCCGGATATGAACGAATATTTGGCTATTTTTTTGGCTAATTCTAGCTATGTCTTGCCGAACGACCACTCCGAGCTCGGTTAGTACTTTTATTTGACGATAGATGGCGTTGTTCTGATGTCTAACACGCTAAAGCGTAATATTGATACTTTAGAATTGAATATTCAAAAAAAATATCAGAAAACATAAATAAAAGAAATGTGTAAATAACATACTACATAAAATTTTAAAGTACTTACGTGTGGAATTTTTTCATGCACAAAATCTATAAATAAACGAAACTAAAGAAAATAACTACAAAAACATGCTAACAAAAACTACAACGAATCTAAAAAAAAATCTGTAAGTAAAAATAATCGTGCCATTATAAGCGTGCAAAGTTATTAATATCAGAGAAACAATAAAATTCCTATACCATTCAAAATTACGCTTTACCGTGCCATCAAGTTCACTTACTTTCATCATTGACCACGGGTCCGTAACTCAACCCTTCACTGCTAGCATCAAGGCTATTCGAGTCCTGTACTCCCAAAATTCCAGCTTTGGCCACTCTATGACAGCAACCCTTTAACAGGCTCCCGCAAGACCCATCTAATAGGCCTCCGACCATCCAACAATAAAAAAAGAACTCGCAAGTCCCTCCCTGTGGACATTTTTTCACGTCTTGTCTGTCATTCGATTCTATTTTCTGTGGTTTCGTATCTGTGGTCACGAGTGGCTTTATAACATTCTGTGGACTGCTCAAATTATTTATCACTCGTCCCTTTCTTTTCGGTAATCTCGAAGGCAAAGGGTCGAGAATTTCATTAATTTTCAACATTTGCTCGTCAGTGATTGGTCTAAATTTCGGTAAATCCGCCAGTCTGTTCGTCACATTAGGGAATTCGTAATAATCGACCCTTTTCATTGGCGTTCGTATGTCTGTTTGTATAAACATTGGTTTTTCTAAAACTTTTTTTCTTTTATTTTTTTCGAATTGAGCTCGATGTGGTCCGTTGGCATCTGTTTGGAAAATTAAAAAACAAGGTCATTTCGGATACGGTGAATGAAATGAATGAATGAATGAAATATTAGCATTGAATGAACGAGTGAATGGAAAATAGCGATGTGTTTTTGTGCACTGGTCTGGGAGAATGAGTAAATTAAATAAAAAGTAATAGGAATAATGAGAAAGATGAATGAACAGAGATAGTTTAGTGAAGTTCTATATTTCATGAAAAACTTTATTATTTTACGTGTATATGTAAGTATATAAGTGGCTTAAATATGTAGGTAAATCATTAATTATGCATTTCACATAATATTTAAAGTAGATCGTTATTATTTACACTTACAATAATTGCAAATAACATTTACTTTTATAATCATCAATCGTCAACAGTCTATAAGTGGCCACTGCTGACCATAGGCCTCTTCTCACACGGAGCATTAATAGCCACGCTTGCTCAATACGGGTTGGCGATTTCAAATTTATAATTAGAAGTTATAAGCCTAGGTTTCCTGACGATGTTTTCCTTCACCGTTTGTCAGGGGCGTGTAAATAATTTTAGAAATTTAGTACATATGTATATCGAAAAAGCCATAGAAAAATAATTGTTTAAAAATTTTAAATCTTGTGGTTAATCAATAAATTTTAAATTGTAGTCTAATATCTAGGCTCTCCCCTGAGATTTTGGGCTCAGTCCCTTCTTTGAGGAGTGGCTTGAGAGACGCTACGGCGTCCTCACCTACCGCCTGACGCAGGTCCTCACCGGACATGGAAGTTTCGGGAGGTACCTGTGTCTGATGGGGCGGGAGGAAACGCCCAGTTATCATCACTGCGAGGACCGCCCTGAGGACACGGTGGAACACACTGTAGCAGAATGCCCTGCGTGGGCTGAGCACCGTCGTGCCCTCAGGGAAGTGATCGGCGATAGCGACCTCTCGCGTCCGGGCCTAGTGCAGGTCCTGATGCAGAGCGAGGGGGACCGGGATGCCGTCTCCTCCTTTTGCGAAGCAGTTATGCTAGCTAAAAATTTTAGGCGGTACGAAGTTGGCCGTGTTTGGTAGTATTAATATAAAATTCTTTCCTTTGTTATTGATTCTGTAAATGATTGTATAATGTGACTTTCTCGTATTAATTTTATAGTATTCGGCTTTTTAATTACACAATCAGGCTACAATTCCGTTCAATCTGAATAAAAATGTGAGTTAAATATAGCTTTTTATATCTGTATATACATTATATTTCTTAATATATTTTACTTACAAATTGGTGTGATATTTTAGTTTAATCTTTTTTTAATATGTCTTTATTTACATAATATATAAAAGTGCATAATATAGGCTTATTATGTCCATTTTTTTTAAAGTGGGGATAATCATCGATTAACTGCTCCCGCCTGGGTAAGACGGGAGGGAGTGTCAGACTCTTACTGACTAAAAACCACCCCGTTCCTTCTCCTGCACTTCGAACCGGAGCCCCGGTTACCCGTTAGGTTCTCCGCGACTTATTATGTCCATAGGAGGTAGGTAAATTCGTAGGTTTTCCACTAATTATATTCATGTTCAAGTTGTCAAGTTGATATTCTTCAATTATAGTCAAAAATTGGTATACGGACTTTGGTCTCAAAAGACTAACAAAAAAAGTTTATATGTTTTAATCAATCCCCTTAAAAAGCACATGCGAAGCCACGGGCTGAAAGCTAGTTATTTTACTCAGCAGTATACTTTACAGAGTACTTATATATTTTTATAGTAACTCATTAACAACGTAATTATTACGGTACCAATTACGTCCTGGTTATAAGTACCGGACGTGGGCTTTCCTAGAAGTCACCAAAGGTCAATGTAAGATGGAAACCAGTGTTGCAACATTGAAAGTGTTTCTCTCAAACGAATAGACGTGTGCTACGGAACTTTACGTTGAGTAAAAATATTAATTAAAAGAGGTATAATGTGTTGCTAAGTTGTATAATATACAGTTGTTAGATCAAGGAACGTAGAGGTATTGTTGATTTTTTTGTAGTCGAAAGTTGTTATATCCAGGTTAATAAACAGCGAGTAAAATTATTAATTTTTATTACAGAAAATTTGCATAAAAACCAATTTTCCACTTTAGTTAGTTCAATTTTAGTTAAAAAAAATGAAGTCGATAACCTAAATTATTTCAAAGGTAAGAGCCTAAAATATACTAAGTACTTTCTCCTAAGTGAAATAAATACTGTTCTGAAAACCACTTTAAAATCGGTTCAATCAATCACGAGAGCATATTAACATCTATACACACAAGTCAAAGTCAGAACTTATTCCATATTAAAGTCGTATCAAAAAACTACCAACGCATTTTGCGAAATGTCGAAATATTAAAATTATGATTACAATAAGGCTGTTGGAAAGGCTCGCTTTAGCTTTCGTTTCGCCGAGTAAGGCCGTAATCGAGGAAACGTGGGGTGACGTAACATGTATTCTCTTTGTGTTTGTGTACAGCTCAGAGTGAAACAGTGCCCTACTATTTTTATATATTGGTGAAGATCTGATTTTGAATTCTTTTTTTTTTGTATTGGAGAGGATCTGATTTTAAATTATTTTTTTTATATTGGAGAGGATCTGATTTTGAATTCTTTTTTTTATATTGGAGAGTATCTGATTTTAAATTCTTTTTTTATATTGTAGAAGATCTGATTTTAAATTCTTTTTTTATACGTGTGGGGTTCTATATACGTGGATTATCGAATTTCGTTATTGTACAAATTGCTGATTTTAATGAAATTGATATAATCTTTATACCTATAAAATTTGTATGCCACTATTGGAGAAACATGGACGCACAACATATTATTTAACATCTTGCATGTCTGATTACTCGATTTATGTATACGCATGTTTTACAAATAAATAATCTTTCTTTCTTTCTTTCTTCGTCATTTCTTTTATCTAAATCTCGGCCTCTCTGGTCGGGCAAGGTATTGTTGGGTTTTTTTCGGTTTTCGAAACGTCTCTATTATAGCATTGAGTTTGGCATTGAGCCCGGTGTACAACACCTACTTTTCAGTTTAAGAGGCACAGGGTAAGCCTTTAGCGATATATTGGATACAATTCTGTATTCCAAGCTATTATTATATTAGTGTCGAAAACCCGAAAATACCCAACAATACTTTGCCCGACCAGAAAAATATATCGTAATTCCGTCGGTCAGGAATCGACTCTTTTGGTCAGCAAACGCGCTAACAACTACATATGCATCAAAGCCGAGCTGTATAATCCAACTAGCTTTTACCCGCGGCTTCGCTCGCGTCACAAAAGGATAAAAAGTAGCCTATGTGACATATACCAATACACACAGCGCCATCTATACCAATGATTTCGTTTTCCCTCGGGAATATCATATTTTTCCGGAATAAAAGTACCCTATTATTTAATCCAGACTTCTAACTTCACGTCTGCAAAAATACAAATCGGTTTAGTAGTTACGGCGCGAAAGTGGAACAAACAAACAAACAAACTCACTTTCCGATTTATAATATTAGTAAGGATAGTAAGGATTTAATAATTCTAAACTAAATAATTTGACACACATAACATAATGTATTACAAGGGTATACTCGACTTGCATAGCAAATCGTTATGAGTTAACGATTACTCTTTATACGGAAGCGTTAGAACATAGCGCGCGTGTCGAGTATACCAAGTGTACCTATGTAACCCATTTCCTACAGTAATAGTATTGTGTATATGGTAGGTATTTTTGTTCATTAATTATTGTTTTTAAAAGTGCGTGCTATTGGCTAAGAGGTCACGATTGTAGAACAAAGGGTTTTAACGTTTAGACTTCAATCTGTGTTTAATTAAAGTGGTATTAAAGATTTTCTACGTCTCCATTTCTCAGGTATTTTCAATTAATATCATATCACTAGCTACTTGCGCGCGGTTTTACCCGCTCTGCTCGCTCTGCTCGGCTCCTATTGGCCGTAGCGATATGTTTTATAGCCTATAGCCTTCCTCGATAAATGGGCTATCCAACACAAAAAGAATTATTCAATTCGAATTAGTAGTTACGGAGATTAGCGCGTTCAAATAACAAAACAAACTCTTTAGCTTTATAATATTAGTATAGATTACCCTAAAAGTAGCCACTGCTAACCAAAGGCCTCTTCTCAGACGGAGAAGGTTTGAGTATTAATCACATCGCTTGCTTAATGCGGGTTGGCGATTACAAACTTATAATTAGATATTACAATTTACAAGCCCAGGTTTCCTCACGATGTTTCCCTTCACCGTTTGTCAGTGGTATATTAACAATATATTTAAACAGAAATCTTCTACAATAATGAAAACAGACATTTATGGCTTTTTTTCTTTTAGCGTTTGTGATGTTTATTTTATAACATAAGCCGGTAAACGAGCAGACGGATCATCTGATGGTAAGCAATCGGCGCCGCCAATGGACACCCGAAACACTAAGGCGTTACAAGTGCGTTACCGGCCTTTTGGGAATTGGGAAATTGAGGATTGTGGAGGATTTGGGGATTCGGGAGACTAGGGTAGGGGTAATTGGGCCCCCGGTAACCTCACACCGGTAAACACAACGCAATTTAAGCGTTGTTTCACGTCGGTTCCCTGTGAGGCCGTGGTATCACTCCGGTCGAGCCGGCCCATTCGTGTCGAAGCATGGCTCTTCCACACTCTTAATGATGATAATTCAGTAGTCTTTAAAGTCTACTCTAGAAGCTATTCTGGGTGACGAGGTCGATTTCCAAGTTAGTCAAATACTGTGTTCTGTATTAGTCTTAAACCGAATTTTATCCTTACTTATATTATAAATCGGAAAGTGAGTTTGTTTGTTTGTTTGTTTGTTCCACCTTCACGCCATAACTACTCAACCGATTGCTTTGAATTTTTGCAGACGTAAAGTTAGAAGTCCAGATTAAATGATAGGGTACTTTTTAACCCGGATAAAATTGATATTCCCGAGGAAAAACAAAAGTATTGGTATAGATGGCGCTGTGTGTATTTGTATATGT